AAATCTAAAGACAATATGTAATAATAAAGTGGTATGAAGAGAGAATTTAACATTCATAATTATAGAGGTGGTAATACACTGATGGCATAGTAGCAGGCACAACTTATGGCATCACGCAGTACAAGTGGGCAGTCAGCACCCCACAATTTTCATTTTGACATATTTTTTAATTATGAATGGAAGTAGCCAAGCAAAGAGACGTCCTTTTTGCAAAGCTTAGACGGCAAAAGAGAATACATGTATCGTGGCCAGAGCGTACATAATCTCAAAATGCTTTGTTTTAATCCTGCACAGCGATTGGGCAAGAATTTTCACAATGTGGAGAAATGCTGACGCAAAATGGTGCAATAAGTATTGTTGAAGAGGGTTGTATTTAAATTGAAAGGGCTTATAACGTCTTGTATGCTTGTTATCATAAACTGAGCTCAACGTTAGAAGACTGTTTTGTAAATAATCACCAAGTCTTTAGGGTCGTCCACACGAATATGCTTGCAATGTAGTTGCTGCAGTTTTTTTTTTTTTTTTTCCATTGCTGTAAATTCACATTATGCAGAGAACGTAAAACTGAGTTTGCTTATGTTCAGCTATTTCATCCGCAACAATGAACGAACAATCAATAGCTAACTGAGTTCTTATCATGTGCCACAATTGGAAGAAACTTCTTGTTTACACTTTTCAATATGGCGTCGGAACCGCATAGCGATAAGTTTTTTTTTAAAGAGATTGTAACTGACCACAGGAATAAAATCATCAGTATTGTTTACAGCATCCTCAGTTCTCTCAGACCATATAGATCGGTGTAAATTTCAAAGTCTCATTAAAGGGAAAAAACTGTATATTTATGCAGCAATGTTTCGATCAGTATATCCATATGCTTCACTTGTATATAACGCCATAAGTAATAGGAACATAATTAAATTACAGTTTCTATGAAATCAAATTTTCTGCCTTACAAAATTCTCCTTAATTATTATAAATGTTCGTTATTTCATGTGTAACAAGAAGCTCTATAAGTATCCCAATATTTGACTGTGAGAGAGTATTCAATAAAATAAAGTTATGAAATTTTTTAGGACAGTTGTTAAGTTGCGGCACTCATTTATTGAATATTAATTATGCCTTTGTGATGACTTCTACCTGTTGCGTAATTTTTTCATAGAAACTTATATGACAGATAGCTGAGTGGTCAGCGTGCGGAACTGCAGAGGGAACAATTGCAATTTCGAACCTCACCTGTAGCAATTGTTAATTAACATTAGCTTTTCTCATTTTGAAAGGTGTTTCTTATGTTTAATCATGAATCATTTTATTCTTATTTGATGTATTTATTATTATTTTTATTTTTTCCATTTCTTATTTTTTATTGTTATTATTATTGCTTTCAATTTAGTTTAAAAATGTGCGCTGTAAATAGAAACCATTAACCCATTATGTAATACTATATTTGCATCTCTTGTAAAATTTATTTCTTTATTTTTGCCTCATTGCATATTTTATTCTCTACATAATTTTACATAAACTATCCAAAATTTGAACCTTATTCTAATTTAAAAAAAAAGAAAAAAAAAAGAATGAAAGAAAAGAAAAGAAAGAAAGAATAATAACAAAAGAAAAAAATCTGAAAGCTTTCATATATTACTCCGAAAAGGTGTCCCCCCCCCATTTACAGGCACATACTCGCTTTCAGAGCATTTGGGTTAACATCACATTTTTCTACAAATCTTTAAAAACAGCATATCTTTAGAAATTTTATTGAATGAACATTTTTCTTTTTACCGTAATTTCCGGAAGAAACGCCGCGGCGCTTACGTGTTTAAAACTTAAATTTTCAGTGGGTGCGGCATTTCTACCCATGCGGCGTTTAGGTGCACTAAAAATAAAATATTTCCTATGATGGTCATTGTACATAGTTTGGATGGCCTTGTCATTGTGCATAGACTGGTGCTGTCCCCACACAAAAGAACACTCAGTTGCTTTTTGTGAACGTTATTTTGTTTACATTCTTTCCCTTGAACGAACCTACATGCCTTATTCACCCTAAACGAGATCTCAGAACAGTAACATTCTTCCCCCTTTCAAATCAACATTCTCATCAGTTCGAATAGTGTCTCTCCTCTGCCATTCGATGAATCTTCCAGGGCCCATCCTCTCCCCACCCCTGCCTTTTCTGCAATTTTTTTCAAAGGCGGACACAACTCCACGTCTAGCAATAACGAACTCTGACGTATTTCCCCTTCAGCATGAATGGATTTTTCTTGGCATTCTGCCAGATACAGATCCCATCAGTTTGGGTACAAGTACTTGTTGGATAGTTTTTAAGTAAGAAGGGAGCGGAAGATTTTTGAAAATGTCCCTAAACGGCACAGAAGCTATACTGCTGGTTTTAAGCTTAGTGTAATTTCACGTGCTGAACAAATTGGAAATCGAGCAGCAGCTCGAGAGTTTGAAGTGGACGACAGATGTATTCGACGTTGGAGACCTGAAAAAGAACTTCTTAAAAATATGCCACAACAGAAACGAGTCAAAAGAAGTGGTACTGTAAGGTGGCCAAATCGAGAGGACGACCGTGCAAACTGGATAAAGGAGCAACGAGGAAAGGGAATGGCAATTTCGACTGTAAAAATTCGCTTACAAGCAAAATTTATAGCAAAACGAATAAACATAAATGATTTCAAAGGAGGTGTAGCAGATTTATGAAAAGAAAAAATATTTCTGTGCGTACTAGAACAACAGTCGGGCAACAATTACCAATGGACTGGCAGTATAAAAAGTCATCTTTTCTAAAATATGTGACAGCTATTATTGACAAAAAAAACTTCTTCGGTCGCAGATAATAAATATGGATGAAACGCCGTTAGCTTTCGACTCTCCTGCAAACAGAACTGTTGATGAAACTGGTGCAAAAACTGTATCTATGTTTATGACGGGGCATGAAAGAACGTCATTTACATGTGTGTTAGCTTGTGCCGCAAACGGTGACAAGCTAAAGCCGATGATCATTTTTAAACGAAAAACTATTCCGAAGGGAGATGGTATGTCATATATCAGGATTTAGGTTGAGTTTTTGCATCTATACAGCCCACGACGATGTCATGCGCAATTTAATCTATTGCAGCGTTTACGCTGAAGTGGCGTTTCTGTGTAATTTTAATTTTTTTCCCGCCATTTTTCTCGAGTGCGGCGTTTACGCTGATGCGGCCTTTCTTCCGGAAATTACGGTAATTTATTTGTTTCATAATATATGCAGAATAATCAAATTATAAAACACTTTCCTTATTAGACAGATTCCATTGCATGTACCCCCATACTACACATAAACAAGCAAGCCAAGGGAAGGGGGAAAATTAAAAAATACGAAGCTTACCTTATTATGTGTGGATGGTGTTTCTCTTTATATACTGTTTTGTAAATTTAAATTTTGTACAGTTTTATAAATTTTAACATCCAAAACAATTGTTCTATATTAAGTATAGAACAATATAAGATCATATGCAATAATTACTACTAAATATCATTACTGTGCAATTGAAAGTTCATGTTAATACCTATATTGTAGTAGGTAATTATGTGAATATGTGCAAACATAAGTAAAAATTTTCTAGCAGGAGTAATCAAGGTGAACATACATCATTATAATCAGACAATATATATTGCGTTGTGAAAAAAAAAATTGCAGGTAACCCATTCTATGACTAAGGTACAGTGTCAAATTAATTACAATACAAGGTAAGTAAAATCAAACTAACGTTTATTTATGGTGATAAAGGGATTTGGTTACATTGCTGATAGTGTCATGATAAATCACAATTTTCACTACAATTATTAAGAGGTGGCTGGTTAACAACTTTAGCTGAAGAACACAAAAATTAAACATACTTTTAACATTACTAACATAACCAATGAGTGGAGAGCCCTCCTTTCAAGATACACCAGGAGATTATTTTATTTCACATGAATGAAGAAGCCATAATGCCTAATATGCAAAAGGAATAAACAAAATTAAATTTTAGTGGTAGGATTCTTGAAGGACGGCTGTCTCCCTGGGACGGCTCATCCAGCAGAAATCATTGATAGGAACCATTTCGGCTACGAAAGCGAGAAGGTAGAGGTCAGTAGCTATCAAATTTCCAAACCACCACAATTTTCTTTAAAAACCTTCTAAGAGTGTCACATGATTTTTTCTGTTCAATAATTCTATTGGCTAAATACAGACTTCGCTCGTGTCTTCATTTGGATGACTTTTTGCCTGTGAAATGCGTCTCGTTGTGTCGTTGTCTCATTACATTGCTAGCGTACTCGTGTGGAGCGCAGAAAAAATGCTACAGCCTTTAAAGTACTACAAAGTCAGGAGAAGGGTATAAAGAACACTCAGTTAACTCAAATTTAATGGATGGCACCAACTTATGCTTGCAAAAGCCAGCAATTTTGGCTTCACTCAAAAAGGTAAAGAGTAACTTAAAATTAAATTAAGTTTGGTCTAATGGCTCCACAGGTTAATTATCACACAAGCTGGCTGTGACTTGAAAAGTCAGTGTAGCAAGCCTAAATGGCAAGAATAGCTTAATACCACAGAAGTCTAATCACTATGTAATCAAAGTTAGTAATATGGCCTTCAGGCAGAACACACTATGATTTCACCTTACAAAACCTTAAATACTAACTTCTTTCTACCTCATTTGAATACATGCACACTAGTCATTTTGCATTTGGTTGAAAGCAAGAGCGATAGGAAAGTTGTGTAAATATAAAATAACTGTTGAGTAAATTAAATAACTTCCCACAGGCTATTACTAATTAAGTTAGAAATTTTGTTAGTGGTTGTCTTTTATATCTTATTTTTTACATATATATTGTCTTTTGAAATTTTTAGAATGTTGCAATATAATGAAACGTTTTGATATCTTAGTTTTAATAAGTTTTGTTTTTTAATAATTATTTATGCATTTAGATATAAATTTTAAAACTTTTACAAAGCTTTAAAATGATATTTTAACTAACAGAGTAAAATTAGAGTCAGAAAAGGACAGAGGAAATAAAGAAATAACACCCGAAAAGGCAAGGGATCATATGTATATTTTGTGGAAAAATCAGAAAGATATCCTGCAGTGCTTATACAGAATCCTTGCTCAAGAAGAAAAACAGCAGAATGTTGCAGTTGATATATTTTTCCTGAGTTCAGTTATTGTACCTCCTTCAAGATTTCGGCCGGTATGATTATTCATGTTGTTCATATTAACAAGTATTATTATTAATATTTTCATATTCAATGTGATTTATATTCATCAGTATAATTATTCATGTTGCATAATTATTAACATTGCCACATTCAACATTCTTATTTACGTCTTTAGTTATTCACGTTGTGTGATTATTAGTGTTTGCCAGTATGGTTATTCACAGTATCATTCTGTAATTGTTCCATAGCAGATTCTTTCATTTAAATTTCCTTAATTAATAGAGTTATTTCAGTATTTAGTAATGGAAGAACATGCAAGTCTATGAGAAATTTTAGCTTTGTTGTTTGTCTTTTGTATTTTATAATCTTAAAAAATGTTATTTATTTAATTATTTCCAGCTGATTGTTATGAAAGGTAAAAAATATGCTGATCAACAAACCCTGAAATTCAAAGATATTCTCAGTGATTGTAAACTTATCCAAAATATATGGAGACTTGCTAAGCGTGTAGATATTGATGAAAATGAAAAGGTAGTTTTTAAGCATTTAATTATTTTTTTAAAAACCTTTTAGTGGATTTCTTTATTTCTTTTTTCATTCATCTCTTTATTTCATAGGCATTAATAAATAAAATTCCTGGCAAATCTGAAGGAGACAAGTTTAATTATGTGTATCAATCTTTACAAAGGCATGTAGCTGAACTGTTTGATTGTGAGCAAAGTAAAGAAAACTTTTCAAAAGGCATCAAACAAGTAAGCTAGTATTCACTGTATGCTTATTCTTTTAAAAAATTCATAATTTGTTCTTAAATGATCAGCTTTGAGTTAAAATTTAGCCATTTTTTCCCACTGTTGTTTGATATTATAAAACATAATGCAAGTCAAGCTTTCTTTATATACTAGCATTTAATTTTAGAAATGAAATAAAAATGTATTAATTTTACTTTTCTTTTTATTCAACTGTTTCAACAACTATTTCTTTTTATTCAACTTATAAATTAGTTAGGAACAGTTTAACATGACCTACTTGTATATGTTGAAAAACTTGCATGGAATATTGCACTAATAACTTGTTAGCTCAGTAAGAAATGTACTTGTGAACCATTTTATTTATTAGTTTAACATGACTTATTCATATGTCTTGGAAATTACACAGAATATTGCTTATGTGTTAAGGCTCAGTGTGATCACACATTTGGGCAGAAAGCAGCAACCAATCTGAAGCGAGTTCGGATGCAGTATTTTCCGGAGACCATGCAAGTTGACTCAACTTCGAAGTCTTGCCACATCGGTTTCAAATACAGCGAAAATTGTTTAGGGACTGAAATATTTTTTGTGCTTAAGAATATGGAAAATATATATACAGTCAAAAGTCCTTAATCCGGACCTCAAAGCTACAAACTTTCTGCGCATGCGTTGACGCATGCGCATAGGAGTTAACGCATGCGTGTAATACTTTTACGCATGCGCAATAATACGTTTGCGCGTGCGCGTTTAATGTATACCGAACGGTATAAGCTAAGCTAAAATTATCTAATTATCTACTTCAGTTAATGTTGCAGATTGCGTTGTTCCTTAATCTTCGAATTGGATCCGGCTTATTATTTTTTGCAGACTGTTAGAGCAATTTTATAAAAGTAATCTTGAACTTTCAATTATGTCAAATAGAATTTCCGATTCTGGAGCTGTCAAAGGATCTATCTACAAAGCAAAAGCGTGTTTATTATCATTTTGTCATAACTTTTATGGACCTGCTTTATACAAATCGCAAATTTGAAACATGCAATAATTAAAACATCCATATAAAAGTATCTAATACAGTCAAAAGTCTTTAATTCGGACGTCCATAATCCGGAATGATCTATAATCTGTACCTCAAAGCTACGAACTTTCTCTGCATGCATCAACGCATAATGCGTTAAGGCATGTGCATAATACTTTTACGCATGCGCATAATACCTTTACGCATGCACGTTTAATGTATAATGGATGGTATAAGCTAAGTTAAAATTATCTAATTATCTATTTTAGTTAATTCTGCAGATTGCGTTGTTCCTTACTCTTCGAATTGGATCCGGCTTATTATTTTTTGCAGGCTGTTAGAGCAATTTTATAAAAGTAAGCTTGAACTTTCGATTATGTCAAAAAGAATTTCCGATTCTGGAGCTACCAAAGGATCTACAAAGTGAAAGCATGTTTCGATGTCCATCAAACAAAAAGTGGAATTGCTGCACAAAAAAAAAAAAAAAAAAAAAGGATAAAGGCATATCTTTTGTTTTTCTAACCATTCCAAAATCTGTTTATCAATTTCACGCTGCTCTGTGGGGGAAGGGGGGACTTCGAGGCGCGCAATGAACTGGAAGTTGATCTGTCAGCACTCTCCTTATCTTCAGGGCAGATGTTTTTATTTTATTTGGCTTATAATTCCTTACTAAATGTAGTATTTCATCTCGATGTACTCTGTCTTTGATATGATTTAAATCAAATTCCTCGTCATTATAAATATCACGAGTACACATCAAATAGTTTTCTGGTTGCAATTTTCTAATTTCGGCTATGCGTAATGTATGCTTTACGCATGCGCGCTGGAAGAAATCTTTAATAAAGTAAACGAATAAATATTCAGTTTTTTTTTTTTTAATTTTGATACCCTTTAGATCATATTTGCTCTTTATTTCATAAATTACGGTTTCATATTTTTAATTTTATAATTACTGCATGCCATCTTACCAGATTTAAACTGATGATGTATAATCCGGTAAAATTGATCCGGAATTGCCAAAGTCCCGATGAGTCCGGATTAAAGACTTTTGACTGTATATATAAATTCAACAAAATTAAGTTTATTAGAGTACGTAGATATGTGCATGTATTTTAAAAAAATCAATGAAACAAAAACATCCACTAGAACTTAATTTAATACAAAATTTTCAAGTTTTTTGGAAAAAAAAAAAAAAAAAGAAACCTTTATTGAGTTTTTGGAAAATAATCTGATATTTTTCTTTGCATTGTCTTTTTTAGCATCAACATATTGTTTGATGTTATCCGTTTTGTTATTCATTTTACCATTGAAATGTATATCTAAATAACTGCGCATGTGTCTCATGATGTTCTTCATTTTGGATAATGTGGGAACAGGAACTGCATTTCATTTATATATCATAGTCATTTCATTTTCATCACTGGAATCTGCATCATTGATATTTTTTAAGCTTTGAACATACTTCAAATTGTCTTTGTCTTCCATAATTGGAGCTGTCTTTGCCTGCCTCCTTATTATCATATACTGCAACAAATTCTTCCGATGAAGCAGTACTACAGTCCAATAATATAGAAACTTTCTCAAACATTTCATTAAGTGTTGGCTCAGTTACAATATCCTCCTCCTTCATTTCTTTTGGCGCGAGCTAAACTTGCTGATTTTTACACAAATTGCGATGTACTCATCACTGAATTCCAACTGATGAGAGATGATATGTTTTTGTGTGCCATTTGTATGGGTGGAGGGGGAAAGTAGCTTAGATAAACAAAATTAGTTCATGTCACAGTCTATTCCAAGGGTATTTCCAAGCCAAGTTAGCCTCCTTTTTATTAAACATGCGAAACCACCTCTCTTTCCTTACCTGCGTGGCTGGTATTTTGTTCATTCCCAGAAGGGAATTCTTTTTGTGTTAAAAGAAAAAAATGCATGAAAATACAGAGTAGTTTGTCAGGACCATTGAATTATTTCATGTTAACTGATATTTTGTCTTAAGCCTTTTCGCTTTAAGTGCATTTCCCGTATCTCTTTTCAAATGTTCAGTTAATACTGCAGTTTTTTAATTAATATACTTTCAAAAAGTCTTCTTGGGGAAAATATAAAGTGGAATAATCTTAATAAAAATTTCAGATGATAATTAAAATGAATGAGTTAATAGAGTACCATAATAAATTTTTTAAGAGAAAATTCTCAAGTTAACTATAATTATTGACCATAAATGAGGTACAGTTGATAACTTTTATGCAATAATCTAATACAGTAGATTGTTGTGAGAAAATTAGGATAGATTTCAAAATCCTAGATTTTGAATTTTACTTAAAATCTGCACCAATTTAAGGCTGCTCCTGTAGCTTAATGGATTAAATGTTAGCCTTTAGATCCAAAGATTGTAGATACAAATATCACCAAGAGCAATGTTATAACAGTGTTGGTATTTTTAAAAAATCAATTACATATAAATTTATTGTTGGTTTCTTAGTATTGCAGATACTCGTACGTTTTCCGGAAGATGAAGAGAAAGAAATGTCAGGTGATACTAGATCCTTGTTTTGTGGATTTGGGCCATGTTTTTACATCTTTGATTGTTATGTAAATGCACCAAATGTTTATCTACCATGCCTACTTTTTACTGTGCACAAGAAGTGTGCTTTTATTTTTCATTGACTACAAACATGTTTTTTGCCTTCAAAGTGGATTTTCTTATAACAACAATCATTATCCTTCTTATAATAATGAGCATTTGGCGCTGTTCATACGTCAATCTGTGTAAAAGCCGTTTCAAGAGATGCTAACAAAAGCACTATTGGCATTAGTATAAGGTTGCTTTTTTAACCTAAAAGTTTAGCAAGTGCTTACTTAGTTTTAAATAACTGGTGCTGAGTAAATCATTTATTTAAAAAAAAAAAAAATAGAAAACTCTTATTTTTACTGAAAGGAAGTTTACTACAGTCAAAAGTCTTTAATCTGGACTCGTCGGGACTTCGCTGATTCCGGATTATACATCATCAGTTTAAATCTGGTATGATGGCATGTAGAAATTATAAAATTAAAAATATGAAACCATAATTTATGAAATAAAGAGCAATTCTGATCTAAAGGGTATCAAAATTTACCAAAAAAAAAAGCTTAATATTTATTTGTTTACTTCATTAAACATTTCTTTCAATGCGCGCATGCGTAAAGCATACATTATCCAGAGTCGAAGTTAGAAAATTGCAACCAGAAAACTATTTGATGCGTATTCGTGATATTTATAATGACGAGGAAATTGATTTAAATTATATCGGAGTACATCAAGATGAAACACTACATTTAGTGAGGAATTATAAGCCGAATAAAATAAAAACATCTATTCTGAAGATGAGGATAGGGCTGACAGATCAACTTCCAGTTCATTGCATGCCCCCCCCCTTTTCTGCGAGCCTTTATCTATTTTTTGCAGCAATTCCACTTTTTGTTTGATGGACATCGAAATATGTTTTCCCTTTGTTGATCCTTTGTCAGCTCCAGCCTCGGAAATTCTATTTGACATAATCGAAAGTTCCATAAAGGAAGGAATCCTACATAAAGGAAGAAGTAACATATGTTTAACAGAAATTGGATCCATTTTAATTAAAAAATAGAATTGCAAAAAACCAAGGCGCCACACAAAAATACATGTTTTCCCCCATTTCCTATATGAGGAGCCATCTAACGTGCATATGGCAACTTTTAAAATGAAGTTTCTGCAATGGTATGAATTTGATGTACGTGGAACATTAGTTTTTTCCTGCTTTTCATAATGGATAAATGTGAACACAGCTTTAAGAGACATGCCTGTGAACCTAAGAACATAACATATGATAAATGGAAACATTAAATACGTAAATGGTGCTGTGGTTTCCTTAAATATATTTTTATAATGAAGTGTCATAAAGATAATTTAAAAATATCCAAATCATTTTATTTATTAGTACATGTTTACTTGTTTTCAAAAATTGTGCAATATGTTGAGGATATTTTCTTCCCACTGTTTTCATCTATAAATAATCTAACCTTAAATGCTCATAATTCTGTCACTGCATGCTATTATCTATAACTCTGTGAAACTGTAAACTGTTTTGATAGCTTGAGTTATCATAGTATCTCATTCACAGAAAAAATTTTAGTCTCTCTGTAATTTACATACCCCCCCCCTCAAAAAAAAAAAAAAAGAATCGTCCCAAAACACTTTCTTAGTTTTATATTAGAATTTCTTTTTAAATTGATATATAAAATTTTTTAAATAAATTTATTTTAAATTGATAGTGGATGCATAAACATTTATATTTGGTGATGGCTTTTATCTTGTTAAATAACATATAATTTTTCTGTTAAATGAATGTCAATATGAGGCTGAATATTGTATAAATTAAAATTAAATCAAACTGGTAATTAGTGTGTTCAAGTAAATTATTTGTTTGACAGCTATAGAATTATAATGCAGTCATAATTCATTCAAGTATGGTTTGATACATTTCAGTTTTTTTGCCTGTTACAATAGTTTAGCAAATTAAGTTGCTTCAGAATTAGTAATTAATCTAAAAACAAAATATATTTTTAAAATTTTCTAATTATGTATAATCCTCTGAAAATATTCAACTATCTTGCCTTTTCTCCCTGTCTAAAAGATTCTCTTCGGACACTTGGTAAACCATGCTTGCTGTCACCTTTATATGTTCATAATATATTAAGAATTTACTAAAGAGAAAAGGGAAAGATGTAAGAAAAGTGTAGTGTTAAATTTGGGTATTTATTTATTTTTTTAATTTGGCAGACATTTCATTTCCGATTTAATTTTTATTTGAAATTTTTGTTGCTTTTGATCTGTACTTGTCCTTATTATTTATGCTTTCTCGCTTTTTTACAGATCCTTGAAAAGAAAGAAGGTTTATTTCGTATGAATATGATGGGTAAAAGAGTTAATTATGCAGCAAGATCTGTGATCTCACCTGATCCATACATACAAGTAAATGAAATTGGCATTCCTTTGGTATTTGCAAAGAAACTAACTTTTCCTGAGCCTGCTTCACAGTGGAATTTTGAAAAATTGCGTCAAGCTGTTAAAAATGGACCGAACATTTATCCAGGGTATATAAAACTAATTTATTTACTTTTTTAACATATTTATTTTCTATTTTTATATAGATTTAAATCCTTATTTTAACTATTTCATATGTAATTTAATTACGAATAACAAAAGAAGACAAAATCTGAGTGAGTTTATTAGTTTTAGTGTTCAAGAATAAAATGCTATGTGACATTTTCTCTTAGCTTTTTGTTCTTGAGAATTAAGCTTTAGTATTACAAAAGCAAAATTTTTAACTAAATGTTTTCTGTTAATTATAACTTAAATTGGACATGCACTCACATCCTAATTATATTAGATTTTGTTTTAAAGCATTTTCTATTAATTCTAAGGTGCAAGTCTAACGATTAAACCCCTTTATTTACATTTTGATGATACAGGGAGGATAGTATGGGCCCTTCAACTCCTTGCACTTCCATAACCTCATGTACAAAAAGTTTTATTGCAGAGCTTTCTTTATTGCATTTCTTTCACTATTGTTAATTAAAATTAATATTTTAGTGCTATTGCAACCTTCTGTTAATTCATAATAGATGAAGTGGCTTTTATTGATTTTCTGTTGTATTACCAATGGAATAAAAACAAGTGTGTTTCATCAGTGAGGTATTATTATGCAGTACCACAAATACATCTGAAAAATTGTCATCCAGTTTTAGGAAGCATCCCGTGCTAATGCTGGTGGTCTCTAAATGTTGCAAGTTTATCTTTCAGTTGGTTTAAAAAATACCATATTTGTTACTTCTATGAAAAAATAAAATGCTCATATACTTTTCGGAATTTACACATATGACTTTCCATGCATTATTTTGTCAAAAATATGTAATACATTTGTGATGTGCTCTGCCTTTGATTTTTCGATTTCACACAGTGGGAGAGTTGATCTTTTTTTTTTAACTCATTTTTACTCAAATGCGCATGGATACCTTTTATTGATGATGAAAAGCCTGCATGGTGAATGCTATGAATGCAATTAATATACAGTCGAATCCAATTCATTGGACCACCGGATAATCGGACCAGCTGCTTTTTCGGACCGAATCCTAAAGAACCGAAACAAATCCATGTACATAAGCCTAATATTATTCGCTTATTTGGACCTAAAATCCGTTTAATCGAACCAAAACACGTGAGAGCGAATAAGAAACAGAAGCCACAAGTCGGCTGCATACAGGAGATGTACAGGTGGTCAACGACATATGGGAGGATCTGTAGCTGTGCTCCCCAGGAGAATGCTTTATCAAAGGTCAGGAATTCCTTTAACCCACCGGGCGGCTCGCATTCAAATCTATTCACGCCTCGAAAACTGCAGTAAAAATTAACCATGTTTACAATTTTTTTTTCATTTAGAGTGAACCAAAATTGTCCTGAAAACGGCCTTTGTTAGATTTTCTTCCCCCCTCCTTGTAGGGCGATCAACAAGTCGTTTCACTTAAGTGATGGTTTCCTACTGTCCTTTGCTTACCGCCTAGAGGTGATTAAGCAGATGGGCTGCTTTTGCCCTTACGGAGGAAAGAACATCGTTTTGTGTCCATGCTTTGGTTAGACGAAAAAAAATTTTTTTTTTTTTCTGGAAATCCAAACAGAAAAGGAAGTTTTGTATTGCCTTGTTACTAATTTTGTGCATATTTCTAATCTTAATTGCTTATCCAGAGCCGTGCCAAGATATTTTTTCACCTAAGGCAGAAAGGTCAATGCGCGTCCATATAATATAAAAATAGCTACACTTGTATTAAGCAAAAGTAATTGTATTAAATCAAAATGTCATAACTCTTATAGAATAATTATACCATAATTCTTAAAGTATTTTTTAATCGTAATTTTATAAATTCAGAGAAATAATGTAGCCAATTATTTATAATTTTCAAATGAAACGTTAAGAAATTCGTTTTTGATAAATAGAAATAACACTGAAATGCATATTGCATTAATTTCCAGGTTTTTCTTGCAATTTTTTTCGTTTGTTTTATTGATTTAAGTTTGACGAAGCCTATTTCCCCTAATAATTAAAGTAATTTTCGAATTCGTATAGCCAATTTGGCGCCTCTTCTAGTGATTCACATAAGCCCGGCTTTGTTGCTTTTTCAGTATAAATGTTATTGATTTTTATTGCGTTTTGGTATTTTAATGTACGTTAATAGAATGTTAATTTGTTTTTATATGCATATTTCAGTAATATAATCTTATGACTTGTGAGACAGTGTAGTTTAACTAATTTTCTGCTTTTGATTCATGTTATCGAGATTTAACGCTAAGAAAAAATTTATAAGAGGCTTAAAATACCTAATTCCTATTGAAAGCTACATGTAATTGATAATTAAATTACTATTAAAATAACAAACACATGCTCAGTGTCAGTCATTTCGACATAATGTTTGTAATTCATTTTACCACAAATTTATTTCGTTTATCTTGTTTCATATTTATAAAAGGGGAGTTTACCTTTATTGCATTTATTGGTTGATAGAAAGTTATGAAATATTGAATATTTTGAAATAAATTTCAGTCATAATAACCTTTATTAAAAATTTTCTACATATAGACAAGATGTCACAGATACCTCTCAGTTTCCGAACTAAATTACATGGTACTGAAATTCGGTGCATTTTCATATGATTATTTTTGACAGAAAGAGTTACCTTACGTAAATCACAAAAGAACATTGTTTTAATTCTTAATTAAATATAGCACTTGTATTAAATTGCTAAAATTCATTGTTAGGAAAATCTCGCTCTAAAAAATTAGACACTTTTACCTTTCAAAGTGGAATTTTCGTGGTTTTCTCTGTGCATAATGTGAGCGCGAGTAAGTTTTTCTTAGAATGTCCTCCACTGAGGCATTCCTCCCCTTAGGCAGATAGCTCTAGCGTGCTTTGAAGGAAAAAATAAAGCAAACCAAAACAAAAGCTTCAAAATTGGTGTTTAACATTTTTTTTGGGTTCAAATCAAATACGCAAATTACTTAGAGATCTCAATTCACATTATCAAATGTTATTATTTGAATAAATAAAAGCAAGCTGAGGATTTCCATTTAAATGTTTGTTTTAAAATAAAAAAATAAGAACGGTAAGTTTTTGAATAATCTTGTCAACATCAAGCAGGGACAGGAACATGCCAATGTAAAATTTAATATTAGGCCAAAAAGAAACGCTTTGACGTAGATTTTTGGATAAAACTTAATCAAATTCGCAGGTAGTCAGAGACAGTCCTTTCTTCAGTAGAGAGAAAAAAATGTTTCTGAAGTATTTGTGTATTTGTTACATAAATGTTTTAATGCTTCCATAGCACTGCTAATCGATAAAATTTTATTTGATGAAAAGTAGGAAGTTTGCTTTTAAAAATTCCGATTTTTCAAACGTTTTTCAGTGACATATGTGGCATCAAAAAAAAACGTCTGGCCAGGAGGCAGATTAATGGCTGAAAAAATTCTTAGAATTTAAAGAGGCATCGAACAAGAAAATTTAGGGATGGCGAAATTCTAAGAATTTTGGCACTTGGCAACAAAAATTTTTATTGGACGGCAAAAAGTTTTAGAATGTAGAGAAGCACGGAGCTACAGAATTTAGGCAGGGCAAAATATTTTAAATTTATAGAACATCGGTCAGTAGAATTAAGATCCCACAGCAGATTGCACTGGGAAACAAATGTCTCGACCTGATTCTCGATTATGCGGATGGACGCAGATTTAACTTCGCGAAAGCTCAGTGAAGCAAGAGCTATACATAATGCAGCTATTTACACGATTTCTGCTATAATAAACTGAAATTTAATATAATAATTTAACACTATATATCAGTTTACGAAACATGATGATACTTTTGAGAAATTTTTCTTTAATTCCCCAGTACACTTAAAAAAAAAAAAAAAAGAAGTACAATATTATATAATGATATTACTAACAAAATGATGCCGATGACGCATTTAATTTTATCTTTTTATTAATCTAAATAAATATGTCATTGAGTTTTCCATAACTTATAGTTTTGCAAATTGAAAATATTCAATAATATAATATGTGATTATGGTATTATTGGTATGGTACTATTCAAGGCAAAGCACACGAGGGTTTATCTGCCTAAATGGAGGGATGCCTTCGTGGAGGACTTTCTAAGGGAAAACTGGCTCGTATACACGTTACACATGGGGAAAACCACGAAAACGACCATGCAGCCAGCCCGTTCGCGGGATTCGAACCTCGGACCGAACTACCAGTGTTCATCAGCGTCTTACCGCTCGGCCGCTGGTGGGTAATATGTGATTATGAAAGCTGTGTAAAAGAAGAAAAATTCTTGCACATTCGTCAGGCAGGTAGCATACGATGGGCACCTGCTTGAGGAAAAGGATGCCTTTGTAGATGGCATTTTCAGGGAAACTGGTTTCCGTATATTCAACCTAAAATTCACCAAAATACCAAGCAACGAACGCATTCGCCGAAATTCAAACTTAGGCAAAACTACCAGTGTTCAGTTGCAGAAGAGAGTTAACGACATAAACAGGCAACATGTCTGAAATTAGTATTTATTGCATCCAACAGTGATATGATTTTCTGATATAATTTAATGGAATATCACTGTAAAAGAATGGGAATCTTTTTTTTTTTTTTTTCCTTTTGTAAGGAGATTTTTTCCCCTTTGTTTTCAACATTTGGTTGAAATGCAAATTAAATAAATATTTACAAATGCAGAATATTGGATAGTTATTGATGATTTCGAGATTCAGTTTCTGAAATCCATTTCATGTGTCATTTCCTTAAAAAGGTGATACTGAAACCAACATTTGAGGAGTAAAATGATTACTAGAAAAGAGTTTCCGATTTCCATTCTTTTATTTCCATTATAAATTTATCCCGTAGTTCTTAGAACATTCTTCTATCCGTAAGTGATGATTTGCTTTCCGAGAAAATTTTCTGAAAGGAATAAATTACTTAGTCTACAAACCATGGGTAAAAATCTTGCCACCGCCGGTACTTAATTCCCTTCATTTACTGAGATAACCTGCTTTGTTAT